AAGTGAGAAGTCTGGAAAGCAGATACCGGTGAATGGGTAGGTAGCCATTGAGGAAAGCAGGAAGGGAGGCTAGCTGGTGACGTGGAGCAGAATCATCAAGATGGACCAAAGACCAAGCAAATTGGACACCATTGATGTATCAAGGCACCAACCACCTACCTGTGTGATTGCTTATTTCCAGTGGTCCTCAGGGGTCAGGTATGGCAATGGATGAGGCCAGGAGTCTCCATTACTGCAGCTTTGCCAGGGGGAAGTGAAATAATGCAAAGAGAGAAAGGAATTGAGAGTGCTCTGAAGGTAAAGTGAACACCACAGATGAGCAGGTGGGCAGTCTTGCAGGGCAACCCGTGAGCAGAGACTGTGCTCTTATAATGGAGTGATTAAAGAGGCACTGGCTGGGTAGTTAGAGCCGTCTCTGCTCGCTGGTCTGGGAGGCTTCAAGTGCTCTGGGGTCCAAGGTCTCGTGCCTCTCCAAGGGGATGGTCACTGTCTCTTCTGTGACTCGTCTTGGGGGCGCGCTCAGCTGTGTAGCTTGGTGGATCATATTTCACCCGATCCTTTTCTGAACCTAATTCCAGTTACAAGTATTTTATTAGAAGGGCCTTCACCAGAAATTGAAATGAAATTAAAAAAAAAAATCTCAAGAGTTCACAGAAACAGAATTCGTGTTTGAAGCCTGAGAGAGTCAGTCCCCCCACAGTATTTGGTTATTAGAGCTTCCCTGGAAGCCCTCTTGATTCCTGTGCTTTTTCTCTGCCTACACCCAACTGCTCGGACCACCAACTTGAGTTAGTTTTGGGGGCCCCCTGCACTGATATCCTGGACTTCCGCCTGACCATGAGCTCCCCAAAGTCAGGTTATGATGTGCTTCATTCTGTAGCTGCCTTGACCATTTCAAGTTCTCCCTGCTCCCCTGGTCCCTTACGATGGGCTATTCCAACCTGATCTCCGAGACTCCTTTCTGGGTTACAGATCGGCCCGTGCCTGCTTTGTGGCAATCTCTTGTTCCACCAGCTTGCCTTTTACTCCGGGGCTTCAGAATTCCTGCCTGCACCTTGATTGGTTCCCACTTTCTCTCTTTTGACCCGTTTGGGAGATGTTCCCATGTCTTTTCTCCAATCGGAACTGACAAGGTTTCTTCTTCTCCTCGTCCAAGAGCAAGTTAGTCCGTCATAGTCCTCTGAAAGAGCTCAGATCTAAGCAACATCTAATTCTTTTTTTTTTGAATTTTATTTATTTGTTAGACAGATTACAAGTAGGCAGAGAGGCAGGCAGAGAGAGAGAGAGGAGGAAGCAGGCTCCCTGCTGAGCAGGGAGCCCGATGCGGGGCTCGATCCCAGGACCCTGGGACCATGACCTGAGCAAAAGGTAGAGGCTTTAACCCACTGAGACACCCAGGCACCCCCAACCTCTAATTCTTACCTACTCACACGGCAGAGAGGTCTGACCAGCTAACCTAACCAGGCTGTCTCACCTTCTCCCCCGAAGGCCTAATGCTCCCGTGTCTCCTGGGACTCCTGGTGTCTCTCAGGCTCTCAGATATTCAGGCATTTTAAAACATGGTAGATACAGGGATGCCTGGGTGGCTCAATGGGATAAGCATCTGCCTTTGGCTCAGGCCATGATCTCAGTGTTCTGGGATCGAGTCCTGCATTGGGCTCTATGCTGAGCAGGGAGTCTGCTTCTCCCTCTGCCTGCTGCTCCCCCTGCTTGTGCACTCATGCTCTCTCTTTCTCTCTGACAAATAAGTAAATAATCTAAAAATATATTTATTTAAAAAAATAACAGTTACATGGTTAATATGTACTTCTGTCACTTTAAAAACAAACATAGTTGAAAACAGCATGAATGGAGAGACTTCTCTGGAGGGCAGACAAAGGGTCTATATTGGTTAGATGCCTAATGTAGACAGATGTCTGAAGTTTACCGATTCTGCGTGTGCGTATCTTACTGTTTTCCTCGGCAGGTTTTAAGGACATTAGATGAAAGGAAGAAAAGTATGAAGACTCTGAATAATGAAAGGAGACAGGAGAGAAACAGAAACAAAGAGAGGTCAAGGGGCTTCCCTTTCTGTCCCTTTCATGGAGAAGTAGCTTCTAGGGGTGGGACAAGTTTCTGACCCCTGTGTGTCAATAACCATGACAGGTTTGAGGAACGAATATAGTGATGCATTAGAATAAAGACCTGATATGGATTTAGTGACTTCTGTGTGCCAGGTGTTTTTGTGCACATCCTGTGTATCTCCTTGTCTTAGTCCGTTCGGGCTGCTGGAACAGAATAGTGTAGAGTAAGCAGCTTATAAACAACCATAAATGTATTTCCCCTCTCTGGAGGCTGGATGTCCAAGATGGCGGCACGTTCAGATCTGGTGAGGGCTCACTTCCTCAGAGGTGGCCCTCTCTTACTGTAACTTCACAGGGCAGCCTGGGGACTCCCAGGCTGATTTTATAAGGGCACAAATTTCATTCATGACCCGCCCTGGCATGTTGTCATCCCCTCCCAAGCATCCCACCTCCACATGCCATCACCTTGGAGGTCGGAATTTCAACATACGAATTCGGGGATGGGGGCTGGTAAACATTCAATCTATAGCCTCCATTTAACTACTTTATTGAGTAAAGATTTTTATAAAGGAAACCCTAAAGGCTGGCCCTCCTGGTCCCTCAGACCCTGTTTTTCCCCCTGACTTCACGCGCTCATCTTCACTTTACACCGGACACTCTCATTTGCTTTCATTGGATCTTCTGTGATTTCAGTTGGACAAAACTGTTCTGACTTTTTATTAACAAAGATACTCTCCAATTTAAGGGAAGTTGTGGGACACTAAATCCCATTGGTGCCTGCTTGCCACAGTTGCACAATTCAGTATTGCAAAGCCATCATAATTCAAAGCACTGTTGGCTTGGTAATTCACTTCATTAATGGTGCTGCCTGAATAAAATACACAGCAAATTAGAAATAAACAAATCCTTGGAAGGTACGATAATATATTCAGAAAGCACAGAAGGTCAGGCCTGAAGACGGAGGAGAGAGAAGGAGAAAGGAGATGGGGGGTGGGGGGACCAGTCGGATCAGGATAAAGAGGGATTTTTGTGAGTCTGTAGGTGCTCTGTGGACAGTGTTTTTAGAAAGCCTTGCTGAGAAATACCGGATAACTAATTATGAAGCTGTCTTGTATATATCTTTACCTTCATACTTCTTGCTCCCCTCACTTCCTGGATCCAATTTATTATGAAATCTTGTCAGTCTTACCTGCAGAACAAATCTCACTGTCTGTCAGCTTCTGACTCCACTCTGCAGTTGCGGTGGGCCTGTGCCTTGTTCTGGCTGTTGGGGTTTGCAGTCGGGGTGGGCCTGTGCCTACTTCTGGCCAGGCTGACCCATGCAGATATGGGGGTCATGCTTTCCAGAGCTTTCTTCTCCTACCGTACAGGTACAGAAGCAGGTTGTTGGAATGAAGGTGCCACAAGACCTTCTGTCCAAGCTGTCTGGATCCCTAAATTTCAGAGACTGCAACTGCCCAGGAAAGCCAGCCAGCTGTGCAGCGGGCGTCTCCCAAGCAGGGCACAGACCCTGTTCCATAAGGCACCTGCTGGCTGGGTGTCGTCACATCATGTTCCATTGTCACCCAGCTAGGAAGACGAATTGCCTTCTTCTCTCTCCTAACCAGCCCACCTTTTCAGCGGCCCTGCCTCCCCTCAACTGTTTTCTCAGCAAAGGGAAGCTTTGAAAATGTACACAAGGGTTGCATGACTGTCCTGCTTCCCCTTGTTACTAGGATGGATTCTCCACATGCTTTAGCAGTCCTGTGTGCTTGCTCCCTTCCTCTTTCAGTTCCTTAGATGCTCTGGGCTGCCGCTCCATTCTAGGGCCTTTGCACCTGCTTTGTCCTCTGCCTGGAACCCCCCCCCCAACTTCCCGTAGTTCACCTGGCTCCCTTAGATTATCCTTGTAGTCTCCAACCTGCATAGCACTGTCTCAGAGGCTCCCTGAGGATGCAGAGGTCTCCCCGTTACGCACTCCAGCATGGCATCCCTTGCTGTTTTAATGATCCCGTCACAGTTCATCATTCTGTATTCATTTGTGCAGCTTTTTGTTTGAGGACCAGGTTTCTCCACGACCAGACAGCATGCCCCCTCAGGGAAAGGGCCACTGCCTGTTTTATCTACCCAAATAGCCTGTGCCTGGCCTCCAGCCCCTACCAGGTTCTCAGCAAATACCTTCAGGATGATTAAATAAACGCATTTAACGCTAGGTGAGAATTCTATGCATATTTTGGGAGTCTAAGCAAAGTGTGATTGGATACTGTTTCAAGGATTTATGGTCTCAGCCAAGATACCAAATGCTTTACATTGTTTCCTCTATATGTCTCCATCACGACAACAGTAGTATGAGATCAGACTTGAGGTGTAGAAGCTGATCTGGTGCGAGATGAAGCCCACATGTGTCTCGGAGTCTCAGGAGGCTGCCCGACCCCATGATCCATTTCCTTAACTTGCTTTTTCATTTGGCTTCCTTCCATCTCCAGTTTTCCAAGTTCATGAAACAAAAGGAACAAGCTCTCATATCATGGGTGTCATAGTAATCATGGGCCAGATCGACCATGCTTTCTTTTTGGAGAGAATACTGATCTCTTGTGTGTGCATGCTTCCTGCCAGACAGTGTCTCTTTAACGTGACGGGTGATGCATGGAATGATTACAACTGTTCAGTGATGTGTTCATTGGAAATACTAACAAGATATGAAAACCTGAAAATATAAAGTCTTCCATCGGGAGTTCTTTCCTGTTTTGACTTTATAGTGCAAACTTTTTTTTTTCCCTAATTTAGACCTGTCAGAGGTGAAAATATCAATTTCCTTTTCCACGGAGAAATCCAGTAATGGAATGAAAATCAGACTTCATTTGGGCACACTGGATCAATTATATCTGGATGTTGTTAACGTTATCTTATGGCTCTCATTTTAAATCAATCTTTTTTAAAATCTCTTTCATGGAACAGCACATATCTGAGTGAGAAGTCCTTCCAGCTGACAGAAACATGCAAAAGACTACAAGACGGCTTTCAGACTTTATCTAGCAAACTAAAAAGGTAAGCTCTACTTTTTACATTTAATCGAATTTTTAAAAGAAGTGTTTTGCATTCAAAAATGTTTTACTTTGAAACCTTTTGGAAAATGAGACTGTGTTCATGCTCAGGCTTCCCCTGGGTCTCTGAGAAGCTCTCTCTGGTGAGCAAGTGGATGGGCGGTGGATAGAGCAGGCCAGGGTGAGACCCTCATGGTGGGGACTCAATTTAGCTATCCCTGGATCCCCACTCACTGAAAACTCTGTGTAGTTTTACTGGCTAGACTTTATAGGCCTTCAGTCTTTTTTGAGGAGCCTGGAAGCATTCTGGATGCTCTCCTAGAAAAATGTACACTTGTCCTGAATCCAGCTTATAATTCCAGAAGGTTAGCAGGTTTACCCCTAGTCCTAGTGGTGGTTCACCTTCCACTCCCTAGCCAACCCCCCACCTGCTTCCAATCCTGTATTTTAGAGAGATCCCTGTACCATCTTCCTATTGGGAAGGGAGATCTTAAAGCTCCAAGCTTCACACATAGGAGAGCCCCTGGTGGCCTACGAGTCTGATGGTTGTGGTGTACTGCCTCGGCAGGCAGTGCCAGACGAAGGGTGTGCGTGTGGGGCAGGGGGCCTGTGCTTACACCCGTCACCTTCCTCAAAGGAACCAAGCTGAGTTGCATTTAGTATTAATCATACTCAGATCCTGGAACCCAGGATCTTCGAGGCAGGGCTCCCCAGAGAGGAGCACATAGATTATCTGACTTTGGGGGCTTAAAAGGGAAACATTTTATAGTATAGTATATAGTATAGTATAAATATTCCTGCGGTGTAAAGAGCCCCACAGCTCTCGCTTGGAAACCTCAGCTGCTATTCTGGGCCAGACAGTCATGTCTAGGGCAGGAACATAGTACCAGGGTGACCACCGCTGCCATCCCCGGGCATCACTTCTTGGTCTGAGCCTCTTGACTGCCTGGATCCTTGAAATTATTAGGGAAGCCTGAGACTGAATACGATCTCTGATTTACATTCATCTGGTTTGACCATCCAGTCCTGTGTTAGCTCAGTTTATTACAAAAGGAGAGCCCCAATAAAACTTCAGTTTTCTTTTCCCTAAATTCCAACCGATGGACCCTTATGCTATCTGGAGAAATCTACTGTGCTGTGTGCCTTCCGCCCACCACACCTGACCACCTTCTCTCTCTTCACTACAGTTTGGTCTGTGCATTTCTTTGCCCTGGAATGTTGACCCACAAGGACTTCATCAGCACACCACTTGCTCCTTGTCATCTAGTTTTCTTTGGATTCAAGTCAGAGGGGAACACCAGAAGGAGAACAGAAAGAGGAAAGGATCTTTCTTTGTGGTGGTGCTGTAGGTGAACCACCTACTTGGCCAAAGGAAAGGGCTCTATCTCGAATGAAGGTCACGACTTTTTGTTAGGTGTCTCTTTCTCTCCCTCCCTCGGCTTTCATTCTCTCCCTGGACCCTTCATGTCAGGAATAAGCCATTAACAGTCCCCTGACATTGTGCTTGGATTTCCCTACATCCAGCCCAGGCCTTTTGAAAAAGTCCCTTTCAGAAGCTGTCCTTAAAAGACTATAGTCGAGTGGGCTGTCATCCTTGCCAGGACCCTCACTTACCATAGATTGGCTAGAAGAAACTGTTGCAAATGCATCTCTCTCTGCACGATAAATTCATTCAATTTTGGGGTGGACCTAAAGTAGCTCACACATTACAGATGGTGCAACACATCTATTTTTATCATGGTATAGCTGTTGTTTTGTTTGTTGGGTGTAGGGACTACAGGTCTTTCTCTGAAACTTTCCCCAGGAATCTCGAATCCCACACCTCCCACAGGCTTCCAGCATCAGACATGGCAGAATGACACATGGAAAGTAAGAACTTGGAAAAATCAGTCCTTGCTCCACCATACCTTGTGACAGGCTGATGGGACTCCTTGCCTGATGTGTGACGCCGCACGTGAAAGTTGCCTTTGACTTTCATCAGCATTCTCTCTGACATGAGCTGGTTTTGCTCCCTGAATTGACAAAAGTCCTCAATGTAAGGATGACCCATAGCTATACGTTGGAGCAAACCACTTGAGTCAGCATGGGAGAAAATTCTTTAATCGTGGAAGGTTGTGTTTTTTTTTTCTTCCAAGGACAGAATTTAACAACTTTATTAAGTGCGTCAACAAAAACAGTCAGTGGCCGCGTGCTAATGAGAACGTCTGTGCCTTTGCCCTCGTGTTTGCTCTCGCACTTTTTTCTATTGTTTTGGATCTGGTGCTGAGACCTCTTCTTGCTTGTTCTTCAGGGGGTGCATTTCCATTATGCACACAATTTTCAGCTAGCTCACATAATTAGCCTGCACTGGTATTCTGTTTGGCAAAGGTCTAGGGAGAGCAAGCATGAATTGCCCATTGTTATGAAAGTGTTATTTTGCACACAGGAGACTAATTTTTTCAGTTGTATTATCTGTTGTCAGGAATTGTGTGTTCTGCAACTTCAGTGCTATTATAGACTTACAGGGGACAATCGGGAGAGCTATTCAATATGGGGTGATAAAAAGTAATTTCATTTTCTCAGAAATAATTATTTAGCTCTGTTTTCGTCATGGTCTGGTAAAGTCTTAGAATTTTCTCTTTCTTTAGCCAATTTGTCCCTTTCGGTTTGCGAAAATAGAACCTGGGAAGACACAGTTATAGTGGGAGGGAAACTGCTCTTTTTCTCCATTGGTCTTTAGTACATCTTTGAATAAAAGAAAATTAAACAGCTGCTATTTGGAGGACAGCAGTTCTGGAATCATAGTCCTTTATTGTCTGAGACTCTGAGCTCCATGGACGCGGCCCTATCCCATTGCCTTGCTGCAGCCAGAAGTGTGGGTGGTTGCAGCACTGTCCTGCTCCCTAGCAGGGGCAGGTGAGCCTAAGGGATCACGGTATTCTCCTGCACCCAACCAAAAGCCAGCGTGCACGCACAGGCAAGGCACTGTCACACTATTCCTGAAACTCGGGGACACACACTGTTAAAACATTGTCCCGCTGCCTTTCTGAAGTCAGCGAGCATGACCCACCCCCAACACTAGCTGTCCAGGGGGCATGCGCAGTCCATACAGGAACACCATCTGATTGCCTGGTCACGTCAGCTAAGGGGGCTGGAGTTCCTAAGCATCCTGGAAAGGTAACAATTCAAAGAACAGTTATTGTTCAACCACCACGCCCAGGACACTTCGCAGACAACAGACTGAAACACAACCTGTCTTCCTCTGAAAAAGGCCTACTTACTTAGCCTGGAGCTTCGGTGTGAGGGACAGGCTTTTGGTTTCCCAGCATCTGGAGGCTGACGTGGTGCTTGCTCCCTGGGAATGTAAGTGGGGAGACACTATTCTTGAGCACCACCTTGGCCTTGCTACAGATTGATGAGACATGCCAAAGAAGAGGTTATATACTTATCTGGAGCCCCGATTTTTGTACTCTTGTCCAGAGGATACCTCTGGATCTCCTGGTGTGGAGGCCAGCAGGGATGATGATTGTGGCCCCTCAGGAGTGTATATATTTGCAAACTTTAGCAGCTGCTTCCTGAGGGCCCAGTTTCCAATCAGCCTGAAAGTAAGTCCTAAATGAGCTTCTTCCCCTTGGAACACTCACAGTTCTTGGCACACTCTTAAGAACGGGGACATATCAAGAATAAAGTGTGTGGTTTAGACAATCACAAAGGCTCAAGAGACAGCCAAGAGCTAGAGGAAAGTGAAACAAGAATGTTCATCCCCTACACAACGCCACCTCTTCAAGATAGGTAGTTGCTTCACCTAATACACAGAAACAGAGAGAGTGAAGCAAACTGAGGAAACAAAGAAGTATGTTCCTAATGAATGAATAAGACAAAACCTCAGGAAAAAACCTTAATGATATGCAGATACGTAATTTGCCTGATAAAGAATTCAAAGTTATGGTCATAAAGTTGCTCACTGAACTTGGGATGAACACACTGATAACTCCAACTAGGAGTCTTAAAATATGAGAAAGTACCAAACAGTAGTCATGGAGCTGAAAAATACAGTAACGTAGCTGAAAAATACAGTAACTGAACTGAAAAATACACCAGAGGGGTTTAATAATAGAGGGATGAAGCAGAAGAACAGATTAGCGAGTTGGAAGACAAAGCAATGGAGTAAACCCAGACAGAGCAGCATAAAGAAATGAATAAAACTTAAGAGACCTATGGTACAGAATCCAGTGAAATAGCATTTACATCATAGGGGTCCCAGAAGGAGAAGAGAGAGAGAAAGGGGCAGAAGACTTACTTGAAGAAATAGGGCTGATAATTTTCCTAACCTGGTGAAGGAACAGACATCCAGGTTTAAGAACCCAGAAATTCCAAAATAAGATGAGTCCAAAGAGAGCCACACCAAGACACATTATGATCAAAATGTCAAAAGTTAAAGAGAAAAAATCTTAAAAGAAGCAGGAGAAAAGCAATTTCCCATTGTTACGTACAAGGGATATCCCATAAGGCTATCAACAGATTTCTGTTGATATCAGCAGAAATTTTGCCAGGCCAGAAGGAAGTGGCAGGACATATTCAAAGTGCTAAAAGGAAAAAAAAAATCTTTCAACCAAGAATAATCAACTTAACAAGGTTATTATTCAGAATCGAAGGAGAGGTAGAGTTTTCTAGAACACAGAAGCTAAAGGCCTACTAGTATTAAAGCAGCCTTGCAAGAAATTTTTAAGGGATTTTTTAAGCTGAAAAGAAATGGCACTCATTAATAACAAGAGAACATGAAAGTAAAAATCTCACTGCAAAAATATAATATATTTTTATTATATATTTAATAAATTTACAGTAAAGGTAGTGGGTTAATTACTTAAAAACAACTATAAAGGATAAAAGACAAACATAGTAAAAAATTGACCCAAACTATAATAATTAGTTAAGGGATACATAAAATAAAAATAAGTAAAATGTGACATAAAAAACATAAATCGTGGTGATGGGATAAAAATGTAGAGTTTTAGAATGTGTTCA